TTTTTTCAAGTAATCCAGCTTCATACCAAGTTTTAAGACAAAGACTTGCACAAACTTTTTTTTCATCTAACCGATTTCGTGTTGGAGTTATTGTATGTTTTGCAATTGAAAAAATATGTTCACTAGGAACACTAGTAGCTTGTACAACAAAATAATCCTTTGCCATAAGTGCAAGTTTCGCAAACCGTAAATCAGTTGCTTGTGCTTTCCAATATTCGAGTGTTTTACAATTTCCAAGAGGCATTAATAAATAATCATCAAGAATATTATCACATGGTTGGTAAGTATTTATAGAAGTATGCTTAAGTTGGCGAAGATAATTACGTGACGATGTTTCTGCTGTTTCTACCGGTTGTATATAAGTCGTCCAATTATTTATATCCAGGTATTTCTTATATGTATTACGAAGAATATTATGTATTCTATTCTTATCCTTTTCTTTATACCATTCAAGCTTATTATTAGGATCAAGTGCAATGGAAATTGGACAAGCATATTGAATAACGTTTTGTATAGCAATTGATTTTGTTTGTGAATTAGATCCTTTGTTGATTATATCTTATAAAACACTAAGAATGCCAATAAAAGATATATGTAAATCACCCATCGTAGGATGAGAGGATGATGATAAAAGTATAGTAGCTTCTGTGAATGGCTTGAGAATAACTAAAATATTCTATCATTTTAATAAATAAATAAATAAATATACAAATAAAATAATCAATAGATTTAAATAAATAAAATACTTACATTAATTTTGTCCCAATCATGTTCTGTTGGATAAATATCTTTTGATGTTTTCGAACTACCTGCAACTAAAATATCTATCATTTCACGAATTTCTTGTAATTTAATAATCATATTATATGTACTATTCCAACGAGTTGTTATATCAGGTTCCGGAGCAAGAAATGGTTTGCCTCTAAATTCAAAAACTTTTTTTAATTCTTCAAAAACTGGTTGCAATCTACGAATATAATTGGTAAAGTTATGAAACTTTGAAATATATTTATTAACTTTATGCATTTCTTTATTAACTACTAAGTTAAGAAAATGTGCTGCACATCTAATCCGTGTAAATTCTAAATTATTATATTTTTCTACAAGCATCTTATTAAGCTCAGATCCAAATACATCCATATTAATCGCATTATCTGTAGTTACTGTAAGAATTTAATCTCCAATATTATAATATTCGATAGTTTCAAAAGCTATTGTTGCAAGATTTATTTCAGTATGTCATTCGTGCAATGAAATTATATCTAATAAAATATGTTGCATTTGCCAATTATTATTAATCCAATGAAGAATAATTGAAAGATAACTAAGATTCGTACAACTAGTCCATGTATCTGTTGTAATCGCAAATTTTTGAAACATTGTACTAAGCATTGTACAAATTGTTTTACAATGGTGTTCATATAAATTCAATATATTATTTGCAATATATTGATGTGATGGAAGTTTATAACGATTATCAAGAGATGAAATAAAAATACGGAAATCTTTATTTTCTACAATATTAAAGGTTGTTGATCTGTTATAATCCATCAAATAAGAAGTTTTGTAATTTTTTCTTGATTGTCTTTACTGTATGGTTCAATTGATTGTATTTGAATATATAGCTCATCATATTTGTCTTTATGATGTTTTTTAAAATGTTCTTTGAGTATAGTAAGACCGGTTTTTTTAGAATAAGGATGATTACAAATACAATAGGTATGGTGAGTATCAGTTTCATTAAAACATTTTCATAATGAATTGGTTTTAAATTTTTTTTTTGTTTTTTCAATATAATTTGTGTCTTGTAATAAAAATTGAAATAAAGATATCGAAGATGTTTGATTATTTTCTTTTTTTTTTTGAAGGAACAAGCAGTCCTCATATATTATTTTTATTTATAATTTTAGACTTGTGAATTACAAGATTTATAACTCAATAGTGCAATATACATCTCTTTTTGTCAGGAAGAGTTAAATGCCAGGTTCACTGAAGGCCCTTCTACCTAAGTTCCTTGGCACCACTCAAGAATATAAGAAAAAAAAATTCAAAATTTATATTATGCCTTGAATGGCATCTAGCTTCTAGAAGAATTTGAAACCTAATCACATTAAGGTGCTGCAGCCACTATATACAGGTTGGCTTCCAAGTCATGGCTAGGATTGGCAAGCTTGCTTTCCAAATGTGGCTTGATGTATAGCAAGCCAAATGTGTTCCATCTTATATTTCACCTGAATAACTTGCTCAATTAATTAAGTAATCACTACTCCAGTTAGAACATCCAGTGGAGATTAGCCTTTTATCCAACCACTTAATATTTGACCTTCTTTACCTTTCTAGAATAGCAGCAAATTACAAGTTATCCAAGCCTGTGGCAGTTGCTTATACCTGTAGCAAGTAGGAAAGGGGACAGCTGCTCTTCACTAGAAGCTTCACACACATAGCTGTATTATTTAAGCAATCAAATAGAATTCAGCACAAGTATAGGACAGGGGGAGATAGAAAAGAAATGTTTGAACATGTAGTGGTGGTTGTTGGTAGTTGTTGTTGAATGTTATGGAGTTGGAGTTTCTTATAGATATTGTTACCTAACCTTGTACAATGAGCCTACATTGTTAGAAGGGTAAGTAAGAAACTTTTGTTGTTATTACCAGCTCGTGTTGTGGGGTAACTAGAATCTCTGGTCTTCACGTATTATCCTACTAGGTTTCTCCAATCACCAGCATGACACTTGCAAACTAACTTGGCTTATTGTTAATTGCATTGGCATTGGCTGCTATATCCCTCTGGATACAGTGAAGCACAACTCCTAGAATGTTTTTGAATAATAATAGTTGTATACCAGTTTCTTAGATGTATTTAGTCTAACCATTAACAAGTAAACAACACCAAATTTGATAATGATGACTATGTCGATCTTTTGGAAGGAGTAAACTATTCCTGCTTTTTCTGTAAGGCCATGTAAGAGAGAAAAATTCTGAAGCCCATATCTTAAAAGAAGTTATCATTTCTAAATATGGTCTTGAGAAAAGGAAGTCAACTGATCAGAAGGTTGATGTCATGAAGGGTGAGTTTATAAAAGAAAGAGAGGCCTAGAAAGAAAACCTCCAGAAAGAAGAGAAAACTTAACTTCGGCAGAGGAGGAGAAAGAGAAAGAGAAAGAAATGAGTTTTAACTAAAAGAGTATATAAAAAGAAATGGTGAAAATAGGGGAAAGAAAATAAAAAGGTATGGGAAAGTAAAGGAAAGGGAAAAAAGAAGAATAAAGAAAAAAGAGTAAATACTTAAAAGTTTCCTAAAAAGGAAATTTTCAAGTGCGGAAGGGAGAGTAGGAAAGAGTTTTTTTTTATATTTGATCATTTTCTAATTCCATAATTTTTTTATTTACTATATTATATTTTTTTATCTTTTTATATTGTATATAAGTCATATTATTTTTCAAATTTAGATTTATATTATTTTTCAAATTTATATATAAAAATAAATGAATGAATTTATAAATTTATATGTAATATAAAAATAGTTTAACAATAGAGCATTATATCTGAAAATACTAAAACATGCTTATAATATTTTATGCTTTAGCATAACTTAAGCATGTTTTATTGAAGCATAATAACAACCTTAATCCTAATAATATTAGCATTGTAGACAGAATTATAGACATCTTACTGACATCAGGCAAACATTTCACATTGTAGACATCTTATAGATATTGAGCAAACATTTCACATTAACATTTAGATAACATTTCGCATTATCGACATCTCACTGATATTTGTATTATAGATATTATCAACTATTTTGCATAAGAGACATACTACCAATATTTAGCAAACATTTATCATTTTACTGACATTTATTCAACATTTTGAATTATAGATATCTTACTAAGATTTAAAAAGCATTTTGCACTATGGACATCTTTATGTTATTGAACAAACATTTCGAATTGAAAAATTTAAACATTTATTGACGAATAAATTTTTGGGTCCTAATTGATTCTTTAAATAATCTTGTATTTGTTTGAGTAATCAAAACTTTATAAGTTAATGTTATTCAAATAAAGGATAAAAAATATCGAGGAATCAAATGAGATTTTTGAGACACATGCATCCAACCTTATGAAAAAACAAGCAGCTTATGAATTTTGATTGGTTAGGAATACTTTTGAAGGTACTGTAAATGTCATAAGAACCATGAAGAACCAAAAAAAGCCTGTTGCAAAGAAGAATAAATATACATGCAAAATATTTTTGAATACTACTTGTTGCTATAGCTTATTCCTATTGGAATTTATATGCCATTCACCTAACAGGATATCATATAGAGTTGTAAGCTCAATTAACAAGGCCTTTGCCTCACACATGATTTCTCTTTATGAAACTGGAAAGTTTCTAATATAATAACTTGATGATATAATATAATGCTTATTAGACATATAAAATCAAATATAATGTCGAATGCATGCATTATAGGAGACATATTATTTGTATAAGGAATTATATTCCATTAATTCATTTTGCATTTACGTTTTTTTCACAAACATAGATATTCCAGACCACTCAAAAAAATGTTTGCCTCAATTTGATTTTGCGAAATTATAAACTTTCCAGTAAATATTAGAAAGTTTAGAATGTGTACAAGTCGTAATTAATACTTTTTTTTTTATCAATTATTTCACCTTAATAATATAAAAATAAAAAAGCTATATAAAGGACCCTGTTTTACACAATCCTGTTCTCAAATAAATTGGTTGGCTTCATAATGAAGCAAGATGAATGATCTAAAAATGCTAAGTAGATTTGTTTGTAAAAAAAAATTATTGTATTAAAGATTAAATTTGAGCTAGCATCATAATATAAACTTGCATTAGTCAGCAAAGCAATATACTGTTTTTTTTTACAATATCAAATATATGCTGTATATACTATGTATAAAGAAAAAGATAACAAAATATTCATTCATAAATTAATAAATAAATTATATAAAACAAAAATATTACAAAATTGCATTTTTCAATTCATTTCACATTTATATAAATATAAATATATTTTAACAATATTTTATTATTATGAAATAAATAAAATATGCTTAATGATAATTAAAATTCTTGCTCTCTGATTGTATCATATATATACTGTATTTATATTACACACTATAAAGTAGAAAAAAGGTTTGCTTTTAACAAATAATAATAATAAAACTAATATAAAAATCACAATTTGTTTTTTATATTTAAAATAAATTTCATCTAAATCTTTGTTTATTAAATTATAAATAAAAACATGATTTATTTTTTATTAAAGTACAGTAGCTAAATATCTTCTTATATTTATTTATTTGTATATTGCAAAATATAGATTTTAAAAGAATTAACATCTTTTACACAAATTAATAATAGGCTATTATATTAAATATACTATATAATATTGTTTTTATAATACAAATCTTGTAATATATAAATCAAATAAAAAATAATATTTGCTTACAAAAAAAACAAACAAATAAAATTATTATTATTATTATTATTATTAATTATATTGTTAATGGTATTTTAACAAATTAATAGCTAATTGAAAATTAATTTAATTAAAAATTTTATTTTATTATTATTTTTTTCAAATAATTTTTTTATATTACTTTTTATTTATAACAATTTAAATTTTTTTTTCTTGTTTTTATTTATTGTAAAATATTATTTAACCTTATTTTTTATTAACTGCTTATTAATTTTTACAAATGAATTTTTTTTTAAAAAAATGGATAGCTTACATTTTGCTTTATTACTAATATTGAAAAAAAATTTAAAACAATATTATATATACTAAATATAGTTAAGTAGCAGTTATGCTTACTTACTTAGAATTTTTTAATTGGATGTAAATAAAATAAAAAGTGAAATAAAATTGAGAAAAAAAGAAAAAAATCTATATTTGATACTAAAAAAATAAGAAATATAATAAAACTAGTTATATAATTAAGGATGCTTATTTGGTGTATCACTCTGGTAGTTCTATTCTGTTTGAGTATATTGAAAAATATACTTTTTCAATTAGCCAAGCTACTGTTCAAAGTATATAGTAGTAATAATGACATGTCTTCTTAATAGCTAATAGTACATAATAGTAGTAGTTGATTAGTTAGATAGTTGTTTGAAAATAAGATAATAAAACTGATTATATAATTAAGGATATTTAATTGATGTGCTACTCTGATAGTTCTAGTCTGTTTGAGCATATTGAAAAATATGCTTTTTTAAAAGACCAGGCCACTGTCCAAAATATATAGTTATAATAATAGCATATATTATTATTGATTGATAATATGTGATAGTAGTAATTAATTGGTTGAATAATTGTTTGAGTATAAGGTAAGTTGATTGATAGTAATATAAGTATTTATATAATGAATCTTAAATAGGTGAATTACTTCCAAGCTGCTATTCATGACAAATAAAAGTGCTGATAAGATTTTTGAATATAAGTTTAGATGTAGTAATTGTTAATTTGCAAATTAGAATTATGTTGTTATTTTTTAACTGATGATTAATGGAATGTATTGTTTTTTTTAATATTTATTGATAGAAGAAAGTTATGTAATTAAACAGATTTCTATTTTTGATATTGTTTATATTGATTTTTGGCAGGTATAATAAACATGTTTGGATATTTGGTAATATGTGATTTGTTAAAAATAAGATATTGAACAGTTGTCAAGAACAATCTGATTAAGGTTTTTTGAGAAGAAATTTTTAAGCAAAAATTTTTAATTTTTTTATAATATAATAAAATATAATAAGCAATAGTAAAAATTGTTTTTTGTATATATCAGTAGTTTTTCAGACCAGTAATATAAACAAAGTTAAGGTAAGAATTTGTGTTTTTGAATAAAATAAAGTTTTTCAAGTCAAGAATATAAATATTTAAAAGTATTTATATATTAATAAGAAGTATTATAATAAAAAAATAGGAAAATCTCCAAGAAAGGCTTGTAAAAAAGCAACTGCTACAAGCCTTTCCTCATGTAATTTAAGAGAAAAGCAAGTTTTTCAAACTTGCTTACTTCTAATCAGAGATCCTATCTTAATATATTAGTATGTTTTTTTAGTTTCTTGAGATTTTTAGTAGTAAAAGTTAAAGAAATATAGAGAACTTATAGGTATTAGAAAGTAAAAGTGATATTTTTTTCTCTAATTTTGAAAGATATCTATAAAAGGAAATTTTTAAGAAAAATATTATGTATAGAGTTTTTTTTTATATAATATGTATAAAAATATAACATTAATAAAAAAATATGAAAAAAAACCTTCACCTATTCACCACTGATTTCTTGAAAAGTTTTTTTTATAGTAATTTTCTTGAAAGAAACACTTTTCTCTCTCTCTCCAATATGTCAACTATACTATAAGCTCAAGAACATAAGGACTTTAAGAACCACTGTTGTATTAGAATAGAATTTTTGATCAAAGATCAAGCAAGTTTGAGAGTTTTTCTTGCTCTTTGGTTATATAAGGAAAGACCTGTGTAGTTCTCCTTCATAACTTTGTCTTTATGCATCTCTTCTTTTCAATAACTATAATAATTATCTTCATATCAATTCTCAATATCGTTATTTTATTTCTAAAGTCACATTCAAGCAAAGTTACTGGGTCTCTTGCTTGTCTTAATTAAACCTTCTCAATTATTTTTATGATATACAATGCTGTACTACTCAAATCTTACAAAATTTTTTACTATATCAAAAACCAAAATCAGTTCTATTTCTTTAAACAATTAATACAAACTCAACAATTAATCAAAACTTAATAATTATATCTTATAACAATCAAATCAGCTCAAATCTGTTTACAACAACAACAATATTACCAAACAAAAATATCCCAACAGTTTTCCTAGTTACCTCAACAATATCAATGTCACAGTCATGTGAAAATACTGGACTTTTTACATGTCTTACTCAGTCTTTAAACAGTTGCTGTATAGTTTCATAGATCCAAGCAACAAATCCAAAAACCCATTTAATTATTTTCAAAAAAACAACTGCCATTATTGTTTCATGGATCCAGACAGCACATTCAAAATCCAATTACAAAAATTTTTATTAATGTCCTCTTTAACCTAGCTGTTTATAAATAGGCATTAGCTATTTATAAACTATTGATAATTTGTTATCACCTACTTGATGTTTTTGCAAATCAAAGGTTTTTCATGTGATAGGCTAGAATTAACTTTTACCAAATGAGATGATATAGGATTCTTAATATAATAATGATAAACTTATGTTTAATAAATATCTTGCATTTAATGCTTGTTTGCAGTGAAAAAAAAAATTAATAAAAAAAATAGCAAGATATGTTTACATTATAGATTTTTAAAAAAACCATTACAATTTAATTTTAATTTTAAGTATTTATAATTGCTTAATATTATTTAACAGTTATAATAATTTAAAAAAAATTTTTAATATAAAATAGATAATTATTTTAAGAAAGCTAATATTGAACTTATTGTAAATAAATATTAGAGGTATTATTGTTTTTGAAATATATGTTTTACACAGTATATTATATAAATTAATAAAGAAATTATATTTATTTAAAAAAAATTATAATAATATATATTAGTTTTATATAAGTAAAAGAATAAAAAATCTTTAACCGATTTATAAAAATAAATACTGTTTAGATTTAAACTAAAAATCAAAGTTAAAAAAACCGTTCAAATATAAATAAACAATATTTATTTCAATAAGAGCAAAACTAATGTTGATTTTTAATAAATAGCTCTTAATATGTTTAATAAATAAAATAAGAAAACAAAAAGTTACAAATAATTTAATTGAAATTTTTTTGGTTTTTTAATATATACAAAGGCTTATTGTTATTATTTTTAATAAAAAAAAATATAAATTAACAGAAGTACAATATTCAAGATACATTCAATTACTTTAAATGTATATTTTATCAAATTAAAAAAAATATTTAACTATTTTCACCTCAGAAAAACAATATATAAGATACAAAAACAAGTCAAAACATTTTATACAAATAAAAATCAAAAAAGTTTCTTTAGCACAAAAAAAATTATTAACAAAAGCATTGATCTTCGGATCAAAAAAATATATAGATAATATACAGTATATTTCTTAATCAATTAAAATTCTCAATATTAAAATTTGAAGATTTCTTAATGTATTTTTAAATTTATGATATCATAAATTCTGTTAACTTATATAAAATTTGAAATATAAAAAGATTTATAAATGTAAAAAGCAAAACTTGAGTAAAGAAAAAAAAAACAAATTATTAGATTGAATTCAATTATACGATATATACAGTATATATTAATTAAATTATTTTATTAATGTACTTTCTTGGTTTAACTAGAAACTAGCAAAGTTAAATTAAATTGTGTAAAGTAGCTTAATTAATTTTTTTTTAATATACACTGTAAATATTTATTAAAAGTCAAAAAAAATATTTCCTAACTCTATACTGTAATTGTAATAAGGAACTTGTTTTAATTTTAAGAAAATCAAGCTTTGACACGACAAATGTACTGAGAATTTGGAATTAGACTATAAAGTGTTCATTAATTATTTAACATTATATAAATTTATTTAGTTTTTGGTTTCTTTTTCTTTTATTATAATTGAACACATGTAGATAAGCAGTGTGAATGCTATCAAATAAAACAAAGATTTCAAGAGTAGAAGTGCTTGAGTAATAGTCTAAAAGAAAAATGATGTTAGATAGTTTGATCAATGAGTTTTGAGTAACCTTTTTAGATTTTGTGATATATCAAGCCTCATCGAAAACTGTGCAGTGTGATATTTTTTAAAATCTTATATATCCAAAACCTTATTTGAAAAAGTATACGATAATTATTGCGACATGGAATTTCCATGCGAGAAAAGTCTGCGCAGGTGCTGCGCAAGTGATCATTTCCCGCCTTCCAAATAGGAGTACAGTTTTCCAAAGATCATCATATTATTGTTTACTTTAGGTGAGTTTATACATTAAAGAAAAAGGATGATTATTATAAACATCAAAGATGGAGACAACTCCGAGATCAACAAAAATTGTAATGTCGGAATGAAAGAAATCTGATTATTTGTAAGAGTCTCGCTGCATATTGCTTTGATTGATGAAAGAAAAAAATCGAAGCCAATGTAGACAACGTGCATAAGCAATCTTTACCATATAGATTCGCGATGAAAGAGAAAACAAGTTTTTTTATTGATCCATATGCATGAAAATTTATCATATCACACAGGAAAGCGAATTAACTCAAGATCAACGGTTGCACGCCGCATTGTCATATGATACTGCAATGATTGATGTAATACGTAATACAGAATCTATTTCTCACATATACCCCCTCATTCTTGTCTGCTTTGTCAAAAGAAGCGTACTTGCTTCTGAAATTAAGTAAAAAACGCTTAAATATTTGGTCGCTGAAGATTAACAGATTCCAACACGTTTCGAATATATACTGCCTTTAGAAATTATGCGAGCCCGCACGCTAGGGAAAAATTGATCTTAAGGAAGTACGGGTGGCCGTATTCCTTATTTTACGGTATACGTTTAGCGTCACAATTTATAAATGTAAGCGCAATCTAATGGTTGTTTTCGAATAATGTTATTCTTTCAATATACTTTGTTCAAAGGTTTATTATGCGCTTTGGAGAATATGATTCCAAGTTTACTCTGCACATAAAGTTTGCATTGTGTATGGAGACAGTAAGAATAGAGATTTAGCAAGATGAAACTCCACCCCTGGGCAAGCGGTCTATTCGTTGATATTTGTGACTATTTTTAAGCGTGGATACAGTACTCCAAATTTAACGTGGTTGATATGGTTACGAAAGGAAACGACATGGAACTGTTTCACTTCTTGTCGACACCTTTAGTTATTAGTCAAACAGAAAGGAAGCTAATGTGGTTGCAAAAGAAACGACATAAATTAGTCAAACAGAAAGGAAGCTAATATGGTTGCAAAAGAAATGATATGGAATTTTTTCACTTCTTGTCGGCAGGGCCTTTAGTATTAGTCAAACAGAAAGGAAGCTAATGTGGTTGCAAAAGGAAATGATATGGAATTGTTTCACTTTTTGTCGGCAGGACCTTTAGTAAAGCAGAAAGAATATATAGAGCTTATAGAACTAATTTAAGAATGTTGTTATTTATCTCCCTACCACCGAAGCCTGAAATGAAATATGCAAATACATTTGAATATTTACAAACAGTTCAGTTACCTGGAGAACATCACCCAAAGACGGATATGAAAACGACCGGCAATTAAACTTCATTGCTTGTGTCATCTTAATTTATCTTAAATTGATGTCGTTATGGAAGTTTATAGGATACGAGTGGATGTGAATAAACAGATTTCATAGGAAGCAACTTTAATTATATTTTTCCAATTCATTCAGAATTTGACGTTCAACATAATGTTGGTGACATTGTTGATGGACCTTTACAATCTATAAAGTTAGTACTTCATCCACCAACTTCAGTAATGGCTGATGCGTTTCTAAAATTTAAGGAAAGACTTGCAAAAGTATTGCACCCGAATATTTAGAAGAAATAGCGAGACCTTAAAGAATTTGAAGAAAGTCAACATCTCCGACTTTTCAAAGATATTTATTTCACCTGAATAAAGGACAAGAGTATTAACCGAATGTAGGATAGATCCGGAGCCGGAATAAAAAAGAATAATAAAATAAAGATACGTGAATTAATAGTTAGATAAGACAACAGTATAATGTTTGATATCATAGCCCGAGCTGAAATTGATATAAGGTTAAAAAAGATCAAGTGATGCAAAATGAAATACGACATAAGAAATTATAATGGAAATTACGATAGAAGAAATAACGACAAAAGAAATTACTTTAAACTAAATGACACCCATTGACAAACAGCATTTATTTATTATTGAATAATCCACTTATAAAGATGTACCTATTCCATTTTTTAAATGTATGGGTGGATTACCGAAAAAAAAACGAAAAGTATTTGGAATCTGAAGATTTTGAGGATGAAAGACAATTGGATGGACTCAATTCTTTGAGCAAAAGAAGACAGAACCAGTATCAAAAGACCGGTCTGGATTAAGTCAATATACTGCATATGTATATAATAAAAAGTTCATGAATCTTCTTAAAAAAATAACTTTTTGTACGGAATATAATAATAGTATAGATGATAGATAGGTATACGACAGATATTGCAAGTCTTAAATCTAGGTAGGAATAAATATACAAGTATTATTTTCTTCTTTGTATAGAAGTTCTTTGATTCCATAAAAAACTGTTTTTGCCAAGAGTATTCTTTGATACATGCTACATGAAAGAGAAATCTTAGAGAATACATGTTGGCCAAAGTTTGAGTGTTTAAAAAAGGAAGTTATAAGTCTTATTATTATAGTTTGTGGATACGGATTTTGATGGTATCAAAATTTACCATGATGTAATTCTGTAAAGCGAGAGTACATATAATATTTATTTCTTGTATTTATTCTTATCCATGCCGATATGACTGAACGCGCTCTATCCCTCTTTCTATTCTATTTAATTTGCACCTAAACCACTCAAAAATGGCTTATTCAAACTATGCCAAACAAATTTACAATATAATTAGTCATAAACACGTCATAATAAGATAGACTATACTTTGCATCTTATTATATAGCATGTTTAGCAAAATAAAAACGATATAAGTAAATCTAAAAAATAAACGAACATAATCTTGATAAACTCGATAGATAATAAACAATATAAACTAAAGAAACCACTCTGTCAAATTCTCTCTTAGCACGCGGTATTATCGGATCGCGTTTAGTTTAAATTTTCTAATACTGTAAACAATTTAGCTGTACATAGAGTCGATAGAAGGGATTCCTGTCGGTCTTTCATAGAAAGGTTTAGGCCCTCGCTTCTTAGTGGTAGAAAGAAAAGTGCAGCTTTTTTTTCTTTTAATGCATCTCTTGCAAAAGCTCAAAAGGCTTTCATATTCGCACCTTTTGTGCGAAGTTCGACATCCGTCGCAGGCTTGTGTCGTATGTTTTCTAGGATTTGTCATTTTATATATTGATATTACGGTAGGTGTTTTATGTAAGTCTAAACAAAAGAATGGTAAAAAAATAACTTAAGAATATACGAATAATGACTAAATGGTTGTGCGTATAAAATAAATTTTGAGCTTTGTAGATCACAGACTTTATGTTAATTGCAAATTGCTGTGCACGAGATATAGCCCGTTAGAAAGCAGTTGATTAAAGATTTTAATTATTACTCGGTCAATATATATAATTGCAAATAGTTGTACAAATAGGCGGAAAATTTTCTTCGCACAGTAAACAAGTATACCTCAAACAACTGAATACTCTAATTTCAATCCATCATTTTATTGTAAAAGGCGATCTTGGAAATTTCGCTTTCTGGCTTGAGATTATACAGTATATGTAACCTATTTCTTTTGTTTCATAATGAGGATCTTTGCGGGAAACGCCAGATACAAATTTTAATAACTGTACACAACCAATCCTAATTTAAACATTACTCATTACACAATGACTTTGGGACCTAAAGGCGCATTAAAAAACCAATGAAATATAAGTCATTTGATCTGGGAATTCGATCTGACAATAATCTAAATTCAGTTACCACTTAATAGCAAGAGTATATATTTTTTATTATTCATCATGCCGAAATTTTTGCACGAAATTAAATCTCGTTATACGTTTCTTGAAAGATCGATTGATCATGAGAAATCCATTTTTTTAAAAAAACTAGTTTATAAAGCTCAATACAGTAATTGTTTTGATTTAACTAACTTCGAACCAATTAATTAGCGCCAAGATACTTTCCGTAATGCAAGAAAATCTTTTCTTTGGCCTGCAAAAAAGGTTTGATCAAAACTTTGTGCATTAATAAAGAACGGCAAGTAACTCACGGTCTCGAAATAAACCTTTTTGGTTAGATCATAGAACGCATTTGTGGGACATTTTATGCATCACATATTAGTAATTCGTGTGACGTTCGTACACTTAGGAAAAGGAAAGCGGTTCATGCGGCTCATTTCCCGTGAGCGTTATCCTATCATCGTCTCTTAAATTCATCATCACTTTTTTTTTTTTTTGAAAATTTATGGGCCGTTTTTTAAGAAAAAAAAAGAAAATCTAAAATTGTAACAAATCAAGGTCAGGACTCGGAAAGTTCACAAGTACAATCCTTATAATAGACAATCGACCTGTGTTGTTTCTAGATAAGAAGAAAATTCCATTTTTCAGGAACGATTTTCTTAATACTGTGATATTTGACGAGTTCCAACAAATTGTTGATTAATTAAAATTTTTATCAATTTAATTATATTTCATAACATGCAAGTAATCTCAACCACTTTTTAAGAGAATTACTTATTAAAGACAAATTTTTTGTTTTTTATATGTGGTGGGCAGCAATTATGTTATGATTCTTGAAGAAAAAACTTGGTAGTTTTTTTCCTA